TTTAAATTTTATTAGAGAATATTTAAAAAATAAACGATACATAAAATTTGAAAAAAGAACAGGAGTACTTGTGGCACCTTAGAGACTAACAAATTTATTAGAGCATAAGCTTTCGTGGAAAGCTTATGCTCTAATAAATTTGTTAGTCTCTTCCACGAAAGCTTATGCTCTAATAAGTTTGTTAGTCTCTAAGGTGCCACAAGTACTCCTATTCTTTTTGCGGATACAGACTAATACGGTTGCTACTCTGAAACCTGTCATAAAATTTGAAGCGTCAGTTATTGGTCATTGGGGGTAGCATACAGAGTATAGGGGTATGTTGGTGTTTTGGGGCTGGGCAGCACACATTGTATATACAGACTGCAATGTCCACAATTAGAGGTGGGTAACCGGTGGGCGGGATCAGGAAACAGCCGACAAGCGGTGAGGGTCTATCACCCATACAGGAAGTAGAGACAGTCATGGGTATAAGTAAGTGGGCTGGGTAATGGGGATGGGGTGACCCTCACGTGGTGGGATTCAGTTAGGTTTGGTGGGTTCTGGGCTCTCTAAACTAAGAGAAACACTTTCCGTTTCAGTTTAAGATGCTTTGAGACTCTAAACACAGCCTCTGTCTCTCCCCACCACCCCCCGCACACACATACACACACAACCACACTCCAAACACAAGTTCCCGGGAGTGTGAGATTTCAGGAGCACAGCACTTACCCTGGGCCTGGGGCTGCGTTAGCCTCTGGGAGCCCCGTCCGACAGTAACCAGGGAGACAGTGGGCTACGGCAGATAGACAAACATCCCTGCTCATGGATTTGTAACCCACTAGCCCGTGTGCTGGGCTGGCAGGGGCTGGGGCTCACAGGAGGAAAAGGAACTGTGATAAAGACTTCCTGGCTCTTAATGGCACCAGGTTTGATCTTCACATGTCAAGAAAAGCCAGTGATGAGAGGTGGGGGGTAGGGGATGGGCAGACTGGGAACCAGGACTCCTGGGTTCCATTTTCAGCTCTCAGAGCAGAATGGGGTCTAGTGGTTACAGCGATGGGCTAGGATCCAGGATTCCTGGATTCTATCCCAGCTCTAGGAGGGGGAGTGGGGTCTAGTGCTTAGTGTGTGTGTGCGGGTGGGGGGGAGGGCAGGGTCTGGACTTCTGGTTTCTATCCCTTGTTCTGGGAGGGGAGTGGGGTCTACTGGCGGGGCAGGGCCAGGGTTTCAGGGAGAAGGGGAAGCACAAGGGCGGGAACTCAGGGGAAGAGGTGGTGCGGGGGCGGGGATTCGGGGAGAAAGTGAAGCACAAGGGGGGAACTCAGGAGAAGGGGCAGTGTGAGGGCGGGGCCTTGGAGGAATGGGCATGGTTTAGGGGGAGGGGCAGCGATTGCCATTTAGCTAGGAAGGTATGAAAGCAGGTCCTGGTGACATAGAAAGCATTGGGAGCGTGAGGGGAGCACGCTGTTCAAAAGCAAAGTATCATTTCCTAGCTCTCTGAGCTCTGGTGAAAAGAATCTCTAAGTTATATCTGTTCTGATCAGTTTAATATCTGATATATTCTTGATGTGAGAACTTCATATTAAATGGATTTTTGGAACAGGGAGATGGAATAAGAGCTTGCTCCTTCCACTCCATGTATCAGCCTGGTATTGCAGTACTTCCAGGTGTGGTGCGCCTCCCTGTTTTCTATTGCTTTGTGTATATATATTGCAAGCTCCTATTCCATCTCCCTGTTCTAAAAATCCACTTAATATAAAGTTCTCACATCAAGAACATATAAGATATTAAACTGATAAGAACAGATATAACTTAAAGAATATTTTCACTTCAAGATCCCAGAAACAAGCACAAGGTTTATATTTCAAGACCAAAAACATCAAAGCCCTTGTTCACAGTCTTGGATACAGCAATAAACTTAGAGAATTTTTTCACTTCTAGGTCCCAGAAGCAAAGGCAAGGTTTTCATCCCGAGGCCAAAAGACCAAAAACATCAAGACACTTGATCACGGCCTTGGACCACAGCTCAGAGAGCCAGGATCTTAGCTCAGAAACCCAAACAGCCTTGCTTTGGAACAGCGCGCTCCCCTCGCGCTGCCAGTGCTTTCTATGTCACCAGGACCTGCTTTCATACCTTCCTAGCTAAGTGGCAATCGCTGCCCCGAAGTGACTCCGATACACTCACTCGAAGCACCAACTCTCCACACCGAATTCTGCTCCCACACAGAGAATTCTCTCCGCCCGCTTCCTTGGGCTCAGCCGGCTGCTCTGTGTTGTCGCCAGACATTGCTGATCTGCATAACCCCGCCCACTGACGTGTGACGCCTCCCCTCGGTGTCTGCTACTCTCCCTGCCTGCAACAGACGCTGTGTGCCACGTGCTGCCGGAGCCCCGCTCTCGGAACCAGCCCGTCGGGGCGCGTCCCTCCGCCACTGCTCCAGCCCCCGGCCCGCCCCCGG